GAGCAGATTTGCCATGTTGACCAACAGAAAGTTGCTTGGTTTGAAAGTGTCTTCTGTGTGAGCTGTGCTTCATACATCACTACACTATTGACAACAGACACTAATGTGAACACACATATACACTGTAAAACAGTGTTCACTTATCACTTATCCATCACTGCTGCTTGCCTGTTTGATCTCATTTTACACTCACTTTCACTTATGTCTTCTTTCTTCTGGACTGGTTCAGTGATGAAACTTTCAGGAGCAACCAGTACCTCACTTTGGATCTGAATATTAGTGGAGTTTCCCAGGGACCATATCCATTTGGTATTGACCCAGTAACAAGGCCTTTAATGAAATCACCCTTGTGTCTAGCTCACTCTAAGGTTTAGATTTGACTGTATTTCATTTCCTGGTCCTTAGATCTGGAGTCTTGCCAATAACCACCTCACCTTCCTCAACTCCTATAAGATGAAGATCAGGGGTCATTCATATGACTTTTGGAGTCTGCTTATCCTTCTTCAACTACATGTGAGTCATAAAGTACGAATAATTTTTGTTTACATTGATTTGCTTCATATTTCTGATCTGTTTAGTGGATTTATAATTCCTTTGTTTTTTTCTTGGCCTCAGGTACTCTGGGGTTGTGAGCAGCATGTTCCTGGTGTTGATTCCTGAGCTAGTGTTCATGCTGTGTTTTTTTTGGGTACCTTGTCTTCATGGTGGTGTTTAAATGGATCGCGTTTGGACCTCAGGATTCAGACTGCGCTCCCAGCATCCTAATACACTTCATTGACATGTTCGTGTTTGCTGAGAACCCTGACAACCCACCACTTTATCCAGGACAGGTGAGAGAATCATTCAGCACTGATTCTTTCAGCTTTTTTTTTTTTGCATTGTACTATAGTTTTCTGCCATGACTAACGCATTCATGTCTTCTCATTGTCTTTAGATGATAGTGCAGAGGGTATTAGTGTGCTTGGCAATGCTGGCAGTTCCAGTGCTGTTACTGGGAAAACCGCTCTTCCTGTACTTCAGGCACAGGAGGAATAACAGGAGAACGGTAAGTACGTAGGGGTGAAATTAGGCTGTTCTGGCATCTTTGATTAAAAATAAATTAACAAATGAATCCATTGTAAATAATTACATTTTTGAATATATATTTGAACTGAAATCATAAAAGTATCACAAACCATAACAATGTGCCCAACATAGCTGACAATCAATATACTCATTGAAAATAGGTGATTGTAGATAAAATACTAAAAAAAGGGGGAGGGCTTAAAATAATGTGTTCAAAATGTTCAACACAGAAGAAAATAACATCACATGATGCTGGTTGCATGATGTTGTAATGAACCATTTTTAATGGCAAAGGGGTGTTCATTAAGTAACACAGTGAACAGAACTTTTGATAAATGATTAATATTTTCTTAATTTAATTTAAACAAAATTTAATTTAAACTCAAATTTTTTTTTCTAAAGCATTTAGGTATTAGAAATACATTTTATATTTAATTTAATGCTCGCATCTCAGCTTGTCTAATAGACATTTCTTGCTGGATGAAGGACCATCACCTTCAACTCAACCTTGCCAAGACAGAACTGCTTGTGGTTCCATCAAACCCATCGTTTCATCACAGTTTCACCATCTAGTTTGGCACATCAACCATAACTCCTTCAAAAACAGCCAGAAACCTTGGAGTTATGATTGATGACTTTCTCAGTCAGACCACATTGCTAAACCTGCCCGGTGCTGCAGATTTGCTTTATTCAACATCAAGAAGATCAGGCCCTTTCTTTAGGAAAATGCTTCACAACTCCTTGTTCAAGCTCTTGTTCTATCCAGGCTGGACTATTGCAATGCTCTCTTGGCAGGTCTTCCAGCCAGTTCTATCAAACCTTTACAATTAATCCAGAACGCGGCAGCAAGATTAATTTTTAACGAGCCAAAAAGGCGTGACGCACGTCACACCTCTGTTCATCAATTTGCACTGGCTACCAATAGTTGCTCGCATAAAATTCAATGCATTAATGTTTGCCTACAAAACCACCACTGGCTCTGCACCCATTTACCTAAATTCATTACTTCAGAGTTATG